AAACCATAATAAACTATCAAAAAAATGTAAATAATCATTGGGAACCAAAATAAACAGGCAAATGTTTGCAAACGATGCGAAATTTCAAAGTTACAGTAATTCCGACATGAAATTTTGGAAAATTTTTGAAATCAAAGTGTGTTGACATCAAAAAAATGTAAATAAACATTGGAAACCGTAATAAACTATCAAGAAAATGTAAATAATCATTGAGAACCAAAATAAACAGGCAAATGATTGCAAACAAAGCGAAATTTCAAAGTTTCAGTAATTCCGACTTGAAATTTTCGAAAATCTCGGAAAACAAATTGTGTTGACATCAAAAAAATGTAAATAAACAATGGAAACCATAATAAATTCTCACAAATATGTAAATAAACATTGGGAACCAAAATAAACAGGCAAATGTTTCCAAACAGAGCGAAATTTCAATGTTTCAAGAATTCCGACCTGAAATTTTCGTAAATTTTTGAAAACAAAGTGTGTTGACATCAAAAAAATGTAAATAAACATTGGAAACCATAATAAACTATAAAAAATATGTAAATAACCATTGGGAACTATAATAAACTGACAAATGTTGGCAAACAACGCGAATTTTCAATGTTTCAGGAATTCCGACCGGAAATTTTCGTAAATTTTTGAAAACAAAGTATGTTGACATCAAAAAAATGTAAATAAACATTGGAAACCATAATAAACTATCAAAAAAACGTAAATTAACATTGGGAACCAAAATAAACAGACAAATGTTTGCAAACAAAGCGAAATTTCAAAGTTTTAGGAATTGCGACTTGAAATTTTCGAAAATTTTTAAAAACAAAGTGTGTTGACATCAAAAAAATGTAAATAAACATTGGAAACCATAATAAGCGATCAATAAAATGTAAATAAACATTGGGAACTATAATAAACTGACAAATGATTGCAATCAAATCGAAATTTCAAACTTTTAGGAATTCCGACTTGAAATTTTCGGAAATTTTTGAAAACAAATTGTGTTGACATCAAAAAAATTTAAATAAACATTGGAAACCGTAATAAACTATCAAAAAAATGTAAATAATAATCGGGAACCAAAATAAACAGAGAAATGTTTGCAAACAAAGCGAAATTTCAAAGTTTCAGTAATTCCGACTTGAAATTTTCGAAAATTTCTGAAAACAAAGTGTGTTGACATCAACAAAATGTAAACAAACATTGGAAACCATACTAAACTATCAAAAAAAAGTAAATAAACATTGGGAACCAAAATAAACAGACAAATGTTTGCAAACAAAGCGAAATTTCAAAGTTTTAGGAATTCCGACTCGAAATTTTGGAAAATTTTTGAAAACAATGTGTGTTGACATCAAAAGAATGTAAATAAACATTGGAAACCATAATAAACAATCAAAAAATTGTAAACAAACATTGGGAACCAAAATAAACAGACAAATGATCGCAAACAAAGTGAAATTTCAAAGTTTGAGGGATTCCGACTTGAAATTTTCGAGAATTTTGGAGAACAAAGTGTGTTGATATCAAAAAACTGTAAATAAACATTGGAAACTATAATAAACAATCAAAAAAATGTTAATAAACTTTGGGAACTAGAATAAACAGGCAAATGTTTCCAAACAAAGCGAAATTTCAAAGTTTTCTGAATTCCGAGTGCAAGTGTACTTATCTATACTTTCTCTGCATCCATGAATGATCCACAAGTGTTAGAAATGATTTCATAATAATTTACTTACAACTAAATTAACATACTAATACTTACCCATACTTGCCCAGTATGCACTGGCGACACATGATGTAGATGATTTGATTGCATAATAGATCACTCAATAAACTGTAGCATTTAATATATATATATTTAAAACTGTGATATTTCGCTTTGTTTGCAAACATTTGTCTGTTTATTTTGGTTCCCAATGTTTATTTACATTTTTTTGATTGTTTATTATGGTTTCCAATGTTTATTTACATTTTTTTGATGTAAACACACTTTGTTTTCAATAATGTTCGAAAATTTTTCAGTCGGAATTTCGAAAGCTTTGAAATTTCACTGTGTTTGCAAACAGTGGTCTGTTTATTTTGGTTTTCAATGTTTATTTATAATTTGAAAATTTTTATTTATTACATATTTAAAAGTCGTGATAAATTCTTAAAACATGGAGCTCTTTCTGGCATATAATGTAGTGAAATGATTTCGGTTAATTACTAGCTTCACATTTCGGTATTGAAAGTTTGACGGCACTGTAATTAGGTTTAAAATATTCCTGGCTAATTCACTAGTTGACCAACCTCGATCGTGTTAGTTGATGTAATTCCCTAATTCACCGTTCTTTACATGTAGAGTGCGCTGAAAAACCAGTGTCATTTTACTATGTCGGTATTTCAGATCCCCGGCCATGAAATCCAGTAAGCTGTTTCATATACCTCGTCGGTAGTAGCACTATTTTGTTTTATTTAAATATTGTAGAAGCACAGACGAAGTATATTCACATATCTCGTCTGTGGTAAAAGATCATACCATTAATTAATCAATGATCGTAGCCTTTAATTTTTGCTAAATACTTCAGAATATAAGATCCACAAGGTTCTAATTTTTGTGATTAAATATCGGGTACATTCTTAATTTATTTCATCAATAAATTAATACGATTAATGGATATTTAGATGAAATAATTGGGATAATTATTGGAGGAAAAACAATTTATGCAAATATAACATTTTTTATTATTTTATAAACGCAGAATGAACGACGCAGGTCATTACAAAAATAAGATTACAAAATATAATATTTCACTTAAACACAGTACGTAATTATTGCGCGTATAAACGATCATAATCTATTATTGTTTAATCATTACAAAATGTGTGTCAGCCAGTATTACACAATACGCATTTACACAATATCTTTTTTAATTCTTTTTTCTTTCATTTATTTAATAACTAATTTCACATTTTGTTCGTTAAGAAATTTTTATGAAATTTCAACTTACGAATAAATGCTCTCTTCGAGTATCCAAACATTTGTTTTTTCCTCCTTTTGGACATAACAACATTTAGATCTTTAATATGGCTGAATTTTTCATTCACAGCACAATTCTATATGTTTTTCTTAACCCTTAACAAAAAGATTTTCCTATTAAAAAATGTCTACTTTTAAAAATAAATTCGCTTCCTTCTTTTAAAGGTATATAGATATGTATAGTTAGATAACTCTTATCTAATATCTAATTAAACTTGTTTATTTAAATAGAAACATAGTATAATGTATCGACATTCTAGGAAAAAAAGATAAAAAGAAAAGATAATTCTTATTAATAACAATATGCAATAGAAGTCGTTAAATTTACGACTTACTTCTTTTTTTTGTTAAGGGTTAAACGTATCTCTCTATTTCGTTAGTTAAAGAAACAGAGAGCTAAATTCAGATCCTATGAAACCCGAGCTCCTACATATAAATGGAAAAACTTTTATTATCTTGGGAGTATAAAACGTTGTTTAAAATCATTTTACTTTTCAACGATTTTCACATGCATACGACGCTTACAATATATATATATATATATTTATGCGAACGATTATTTTCTAATTCTGATAAGTTGTTCGTGTAAGAATGCTCAGGCCTATGTGTAAGATAATAATTTGTATTGTAGAGATAAGCAAATGAAAGAAATTACAAAAAAATAAATGGAAATAATAGCCGTAGGAATATACCTTTAAAGGATGTTTAAGCACTTCATTCCAGACGTTTCGCCTATACTTTCAGTTCTGTTGAAGCTGTACAATTACACGTTATTGTGGTGAGTTGAGACTTTTGCCTGCCAATGCAGCTGCCTTAGAAAGTACTATCTGAATGTCCACCGAAGGAAAATTCTGAAATAGAAAAATCAGAATGAATATTACTGCATTAAATTCAATAACATTTTTAAAACATTTTTTTCGTTCGAACGTAGAAAATATCATTTACTTGTAAAAGTTTAACGTTTGTAGCAAAATCTCCGACAAGTAATTGGTCCCTCAAGAGCCTAGAAAGTTTCACGTGCTTAACTTATATTTATATTTGAAATAAAAATTTATTATAAGAAATATTTACAAGATCATGGCACAGCAAATATGTATTAAGAAACTGAATCTGTTTTCATCAGCAAAAAGAGAATCCCAAATTCTCATAACATCGGGTAATGGAAATTCTTGTGAGAGAAGAAGCGTCAGCCATCTGCAGAAAAATTTTAATTTTTAATAAAAATAATATTTTTTATAAAAAAAAATTCATGTTAGCTTACCTGAAGCTGTAATATTGTGGACATAATTCTTGTTGATTTAAACGCATCCAAACTTCGGGATCATTAGCCTTCACTTGAGTTGTAAGTTTACTCATCATCGAGTTTATCCCAAACTCAGCTTCGTCCAATGATTTGATAAAAAAGTCACGAATTTCGCTCATCAAATTAGTGAAGCAAAAAAATGTATCTGCTTCTGCGTGCTCTATAAAAAGTATCACATTGATATAGTTAATTTTAAAAATGCACTTTTCAATGATTACCTCTCCACGTTTGATCAGGATCACAAGCAAATGCATGATATATAGGACCAACAATTTCATTCATGCCCTGCACATATCCTTGTCCTGGGTTTAATTTGGCATATAAAAAAAGTATTCTTTCTAAAACTTCCCAATGAGCTTCACCACCTTCAGCTAGTGGTGCATAATCTTCTGTAGCTTTTCTAACAGATACCGCTATCTATAATGACAAAAGTTTTTTCATAACACTAATTTAAGATAACAAGTCAAAATAATTAAACGGCGTTACCTGCTGCTTCCCATCCGCAATAAGAACACGAGAATCGGCGTTAGTATAATTTCTTATTTACAATATTATTATGTATTTTCTTACTTATAATATTAAATGTAAATACCTTAGTTACACCAAGTCCCTTCCTCTCTACATTTGCGCTTCTTAAAACTGTATGCTGTACCCTATGGTGTAAACGCCTTTGTCCACTAGCATTTACAATCTCTTTACGTGGATAATCTGTACCTTGTTGGAAGAATGATATATCTGGACACAATCTCCTACAAATATAACTCATTTTATATTTTAGAATGTACAGAGTTGTTGCTGCATATAGTTGAAAATTTACCTAACATCTTTGTCTATTTGTAGAAGAACTTCGTTATCCTTGAAATAAGTTTGCCACTTGCTATCAGGATTTAAATTTAGTGGATGATCGTGAAGCGTAACATCTACCCTTTCTCCATTACTATTTGCTTCACCTGGTGTAACAATGAGATCATCTGCAAAATATAAAAATCAGAAAATTTATAAAATCTACTTATTACATTTGTTATGAATTGAAAAGAAAAATCATACTGTACCAATAAAAGTTTTATAAAGCGTTCTTTTACGAGTAAGAGTTTCTGACCAACTGGCTCGTGTTGAAGGTAGATAATTTAATAAAAGTTTCCAACATAAAGGTCTTAAACCTCCTTCATCTGGTATTCCTGTAAACATTGAATCATCAATTATCAAGTACAATGCTTTAATAAAACTAAGTGAAAGTTATCATAGTGGTGTAAGTGACCAAATTCAACTACATATTTTATTTTCAAATGTATCTTGTTTTAGTTTCATTGCATTTCATATATTAATGTACTCTTTGCCAGAATGTTTCATGATTCAAAATAAATACTATTTCATGAAACTTAGCAATAGACTAACTTACATCACTATGACTCTTAGTCTTTCACTTATGTTAGTACAGCATCCACTGCAACATACAAAGAAGATTAAAAGATCAACGATCAATTATTAGGTACATATATAGTAAGCTCTGAAGCAAAATAAAGAAAAAAATTATTACTCTTATAACAAACTCAGACTATTCATTTAACACAGCATCCAATGTGATACACAGAGAAAATTAAAAAGTATATATACATATATTAAGTTACATACCATGGAAGCATAATCGTTTAAAATTAATGAGATCTATTTCTTCAGCGTTCAGTGCATCATCGAATTCGTTTAATCTAAAAAAAAAAGAAAAAAAAAGAAAAGAAAACACAAGTTTATCTGATTAAAAATTTCTCAGATTAATTAACATTTTCGAATAAATAATTACCTCTTTCTTAAAATACTCATGGCTGACTGCGTGCGGCACATACGGTGCTTAACAAGAAATCTACTATGTTCTTATCAGCATTCAAGAGGCATGTGGGCGTATAGCGATACCCACTTCTTACATTATTGTCAGTGGCCTGCCAGACTGACAGGCGAACTCACCGCCATTTTTCCCTTTAAACACACTGATCGACCGTTTATATCAAACAATGATTCAAGGGTCTCATATCAGGGTGTGGAGAAATCTTTCTTATCATTGCACTATGGCACTTTACACTCGTGACTACAAGCACGGGAACTATAGTTTCTGCACGAGTTAATTTCGTTTGAACCTAACCTATCTGACGCGCAGATATTTTACAACCAGTCAAATGAGAACTGTTATTGATCTAATTGGTCTGTTACGAAATTACGGTTTAATTCGACAATTTTTTACGCTTGGAGTCTGATTTCACAGTTCATTGCGAGAGAGAATAATCAAAAATTTTTCGATGATGATTTTCGGAAATAAAGGTTAGTATGTGGAATTAAAGGATGGAAGTAGTTGAACTATAACTTGGTACATGTATTTGTGACAAAAGGATAATGGTAGAAAAAATTTATTTTCATCTCAATTTTTAATAGAAATATTAGCTTCAATAAAGAATTGATACTTTTATTTGTAATAGCTGCTTTGATAATATTTCTTTATTCAAATACAAAAGATAATAGAAAGTAAACCAAAGATTTACTGTCTATCAATATCTTTTTTTTTTTTATTATCATTATTTATCATAATAGAAAGAAGAAAAGACAAATTTTTTCTATTAATTTAAAATTTTGTTCTAAATAGTGAATTCTAGTTACTTTGTCCCGAAGTTAGCGCATTATTATAATCCTAGAGATTCCAAAACGATATTTATTTTATGAATTTGAATCTAATTGAAATTACATCAGATACAATGCAACAAATTTTACGAAAAAAAAAAAAAAAAAAAAAAAAAAATAGCAATTGTAAATTAAATAGAAAATAAATTATCATTATAAAACAAATAAATCGTTGGGAATAGGATAAGAAAGACAAGAGACGGGCTAACATTCTTTATTACTTTTTGTATTCAAGGTATCTCGAATGAATTATTACAAGCAATAATATAATCAAAGGTAATGAATAAAAAGCGATGAAACTAAACAATCAGACGTTACACCTCATTCGTTATTGGTCACAATTATCTCATTCTCGAATGATTGATTTTATTTTTCGCATTTTTACGGTTCTTCTTTTTTTTCTCTTTCTTTCTTCCTTTCTCTCTCTCTCACTCTCTCTCTCTCTCCATTTAATAATTTGTACTTCTCTATTGGCGCAATCCCTTGCCTCTCTATAGTCTCTAAGAAACCGGTTGATTGCTTCACCAACGTCGACAGATTTGCGAGGTTTTACTATACGTTATCTTTACGACGATAATAATGTCGATGAAAACGATGCGGCTCGATTTCGTGTTTGTTACAGTCTTTAACATCTCTCGAAACGCAGATTCTAAACTAAACAAATAAAAAAATAAAGACAAGAATCGACAACGATCGCCCTGTTGACTCCGTCGATAAAGCAGGAAAGGAAATTTCTTAAAAATCTAAAGTAAAATACTTTTAAAATATGAAATTAACAGAAATCCAAGAGGAGAAACATATTCTAAAATTTGAGATGACTTGAGATGACGATTATTTCGTTGATAGAGTGAGGTTCTTGATTGATGGCTCGGGGGGAAGGATAGATCGATTAGAGTAAGTTAAATCGAGTCGCATCGTTACGAAGATTATTATGTTAACGACGACAAATTAATCGTCGTTAACAGTAACGCACTCGGTTCAATAAAATCTGGTTGATTAACAGTAAAATGAACGTGTTTAGTCGTTAATAATTCTCTCTTTTTTTTTTTTTTTTTCCTTTTACCAGTCGATAATTACACACCGTCTTTCTAAAATGGATGGTTATTCTGGGGAATATACAAAGTATGTAGAAAAAGAAGGGAAAGTAAAACATTTTCTTTTCATCTCCCGTGAATTAAAATGCTTCGCCTTTGTAAATATGTGAAACGTATCTCGTGTAATAGCTACAATCACGTACTAGCGGTTTTAAGGCGCGTCCTCACGGGGAAGCGGCAAAATTCTATGCGTGGACATAACCAGTGCAGTCGTTTGGGGGATACCTGACGTAGATTCATGGGGATCGTTCTTCTCGCACTTTGCACATTTCTTTCTCCAAATTTTATTCACTTGTTTCTCGATCACTGGAGATCACTTTAATTCCACAGTTACCTTTCAAGAGGTCGAGAATTATTGTTAACGTGGTAGAAAAACGAAGATCGGCATAAATTTTCGGATTAAAAAGCATTACGGTTTACCAAAAATTGGGAAATTAATCACAAAGTGTCGAGAAATGGAGATCGATCCCTGTGTATATGTATCATCGCGTGAAAAATATTTCGGCAAAATACACGCAGTGATTTCGTGGACGCGGCTTAAAACCGCCGGTAGAATCGATGGATACCGCCGGGTTAATATTCTTTTACTTGTAATCGTAATGTATCGTTACAATGTTCGTATAACAATAAAGCAATTATGTAAATAGTATGAAGACTTTTTCCTCGAAGTGTACGCCGCTCGTCTGGGCGCGTTCCGTGCATCGCGCGCGAGTCAAAATTTTTAACAATAAAACATTGCACTTTCGCCTGCTTTCTTCCTTGTTTCTCCTTACTTTTCTCTCATTTTTTTTCTTTTTTCTACTTCTACTCGTCTACCTCGAATTTCTCATGTTTTAACGCGCAGCGACAATGAGCGCGCGATTCGTAAAAACGAATTCCCCTTCTCGTTGAACTTTTTCTTTTTCTTATTGCTGATCGACATGGTGCAACGTTTCATCGCTGTCTATACAATAATTTACGCTATTTTAATATAATAAATTATCTTTCATCGTAAAGGTGTAATATATTGCCCGATGCAGGACAATATATTATTTTCTCGAATAGTTATTTTTCTTACGCGAGTTTGCAAGGGTTCGCGTGTACATTACGCGCGTCCTAAAAGTCGAGTCGTTTTCTTGGCTTTTAATTAACTACCTCTACCTTTTTTTTTTTTTTTTAGTTTATTTTCTTCTCTTTTCCCCGTTTTTAAAGGTTCTAGGTTTTTTTTTTTTTTTAAACGTCGCCTAGCGACTCTTTGGAAACGACCGGACTTCGAACCCAGTTGCGTTTGCACGAAACATCCGCTCCGAGCTTCCTCCGACGTTTTTTTTATTTTTCTAGTCGTCGATATAGTAACCAAATTAGCCAGCTTAACTCTATCGGTCGACCTGAGCGAATTCGAAATCACCGAATTGTGGGTTAACTCCTCGAGGACATCGTGACACCGCCATCTTGTTCTCCAACGCGTTTTGAAAACTTTATTTCGCAATCGGCGCGATTTATCGAGCTTTTTGAACCCATTAACCCAGCGAGGAAAGATCGATAAGGATAATTATAATATGAAATGAAATACTTCACGTCTTTCGTATAAGGGGGCAGTTTTGAAATTCAGTAGAATTCACAAAATTGCCTCCTCAGTTGATCTTCGTTCAATCAGTGAATACTCGTGATCAATGTCACATCAAAATTGATGTTAAAATTGCGTAGAAAAAGAAGTTGGAAATAAAGCCATTAACGGGTTAATGCATCGCGCTTCTCGTTTAACTCTAGATTGTTGAATATTTATAAAATATCGCGTGTCACTGCGAAGCCCGGAAGAGTTAAACAAACGTGGAAAAAAGAAAAAAAAATCGGATTACAAAATCGGCCGTTTTCTGCGATTCGCTCGAGTCGCTCCAGTGCAGTCGTATGTTTCATTTCTTTTTTATTTTTTACGTTTTCTTTTTTTTTTTTTTCATCCTTAATTATTACGAGACGCTTAGAATACAACATTCTGTCTCTCTCTCTCTCTCTTCCATTTTCACACGCAAACACACGTACGCGAATCCATTCGTACTGGTTCCACACGTTTCTCGTTTCCATTCTATCGTTATTACGCATGCCGGTTGTAGTAGTGTAGTTCTATCTAAGTTCACGTTCTTTCTTCTCCCTTTTCGATCAAAGTTCAAAGAGCGAACGCGCATTATTTTCTTTCTCTTTTAATAACCGCTCGGTTTCCTAGGAAACCTTCCGATTACTTTTTATCTTATTCCTCTACATCGAACCAGAGGATTCGACGAGCTTCCTTTCTGTTTCTTTTTAACACTTTGACGACCGGAGTAGATCTTCTCGTTGGAAGTCATTAGAGCTCGTTTTAATGAACCTTATTACGCCTACGTGCTACCTTAATCTCTAAAGTGTCTACTAAACGTGTCGACTAACGCGTGACGATAGATGAATAGAACTATGAATGTTTATGCCTTTTTTTCTTTTTTTTTTTTTTTTTTTTTTTTTTTTCTTGGAAAATTTAATTCAGAAGCGTATGAAGACCACGAGACAAGGAGATTGCAATAAATAATTTTAAACGTTTAACAATCAACTACAATATTTTCAAGAATGTTTTAATTTATTATGTAATAAAATAAGCTCTAAGCAGTTTAGATAGATATAAGATAACTAAATAAGAGTTAATAAATAATCGTCGCAACTTATTATTAATTGCTACTAGTTAAAATGACATTAAAAACAATAAATATATTTTCCTGCCCTGTGATCTCCATATTCAATCACCCAAATAAACCTCCATCTAGGTTTTCATTTCTTCGTAATATTCGCATAAACATCCGCAGTCCACAGATGAGAGTCCGAAGAAATAAATAAATATCGTTTGTAAAATAACGGAATAAATTAGAATTTGTCGCTTTTTTCCTTTTCTTCCTTTTGGTTAGCCTTCTTCTCTTTTCATTTAACTCGAAGAAATGCGCCGGTTAAAAAAAAAATTTAGAATTAAAATTTATGCTTCGTTTACATTATATATATATATATAACAAAAAAGACTTAAGTTTAAATAGAATCTGTTAAAAAGCAAAGTAAACACACAGTTTAACAATGGAACCACCAATTCGCGATTGATTCTATCTATATGTTAAACGACGCAGATATATACATACATTAAACTAACGATTCAACGACGAAACTAAAACTTAATAGAAATAGCAATTTGTAAAAAAAAAAAAAAAATCACAAAACAGTCACAGGGAAAATAGTACGAGTTCTAATTTTTACGTTGGTAGTTCTACTGTTAAAATGAATCATTCCCTCCTTGCTCGTTCGAGCATCGAATATTCCGCGAGTTTTCTATTAAAACTTTAAATTCTCTTCCTTTCTTTTTCCTAACTATGAGGATATCCGTTTCTCGCGAGAAATTTTTTTTTATCCTCCAGATCTCCTGCCGGTCTTCCCACCATTTCAAACATTCCTCTTCCATCTCGACGAATTTACTCGGAAAAGAAATTCAAATTTACAAATTCGTATTATCAAATTTCCGATCGCGACGTATATATATATATATCTATATGTTAATTTTTTCGTTTTCACCTAAGAT